ATTTACCAAATATTACAATATGTTTAACCAAATAAGTCAAATAAGTGGATAACAAATATAACAAATATATATATATATGATCTGCAAAATTTAGGCTAAAAATACGCAAACTAAATTTCTTACATATTAAAATTCTAATAAAAAATACGCAATCTGATATTCTGACCATAGACAAAAAATTCTTAAATTATACGCAAATCAAAATCTTACTCCACCCAACTCTACTATGATGGTGACGCATCAGTAGACCCTACCCCTATATATATATTTCTGGGTCCTGTTATAATGTTATCTTTAATACTATATAATAATCTATAAATTATATACTATCAATAAAAGAAATTGTAATTTCAAATGTTACATATAAAATTGTTAGCCAAAATTTAAAGATTTTATAAGTCATCTAAATGGAAATCTTATTAAAAAATCTGTAAAATTCTAAAAAAGATAAAATTATATTAAAGCTTATAAAAATATGAAATTATATCAAAATCTTAGTAAAAAATTAGTAAAACTAAAGTTTAAACATTTTTTTTTTAATTAAAAATGGATTTAAATAAGCAACTTTAGTCACATAAAATTTGCTAATTAATGATGATTTTCTATAATTTTATTTTTAATAAGAATATAATTAATTTGCTCTTTTAATACTTCATTTTAAATATCAAATAAATAAACTTATATAAATTAAATAAATTTTATTTACTTGTTAATCTGAATATGATATATAAATATTTTGAGTTCAATTATAACTATAATGAACAGTAATATCAATACTATAATGTTATATTTTACTTTTTAAATAATTTTGATTAACTATTATTTTTGTTTTTTCTTTTACTAATATAATATTTTTATTATAATAATTTCTTTCTAATCTTATCTTAAACAATATTTTTTAAATTTTTTCTTTAATAAATATTGTAATATAAAGCATTTTAAAAATGTTAACAAATATTATATAAATAAGTTTTAAAACTTATAATTTGAATTTTTAGTATTGGTTATAATTTTTTAAAAATATTATATTAAGGATTTCAATTTGTTATCTTTTTTTAAAACAATTAAAAAATCTTTATAAATTGATTTATAACTTATTTTAGCTAATAAGATATAATTAATTGGATTATTTTATTGATATTTTTTTTCTAAATTTAGTAATTTATAGATTTTTGCATAATTTTTTAGAAAATTTATTATTTTTATAACATTTTTATTAATCACCATTTTTGTTTTTCATTAAAATAGTCTTTTAATATTATTATAGATTCTTAATAAGATATTATAATTTATCAAATATTTTTAATATTTTAAAATAAGTTCTATCAATTTTTAGCATATTAAAGTAAATTTCTTAATAAGTAATTTCAGTAATAAAGAATTCTTTTATTAGATCTATTTTCTTTTTAATGCATCTACTAATGCTTATTAATCCATATCTATTACTTTAATAGAAAATTTATCTTATTTTGTTTTATAAAAAACTTGAAAGAATTCTCTTAATTCTGCAAATTTTCTTTAAAAATTTTTAAAGAGTAATCATAATTGCAATTTATGTTCAAAAAATACATGCTTTTATATATTTAATAGAACTATTATATTTTTTATTTTTTATTATTACTTTTTATATATATTTATTCTATTTATAAATTTTATTATTTTAAGCTTTGAGAGAAATATAATTTCTTTTTAAAAAAAGATTTGAGTATCTTAATTATAATAAAATTGTAATAAATATATTTAAAATATTTTAACAATTTAATTTTTATTACTTAATCAAAAAAAAAAAAAATGGTTAACTGATTATAATAAAATTCTTAAAGTTATTAAAAAAAAACTGATAAATAAATGCAATAAGGAATAAGATTAAAAATTGAAATAAAAAGAAAACAAATCAATTAATAAAAAAATCTAAAAAATAATAGACAAAAGAATAAATGTTAACAGAAAAATAATTTTAGTAAATCAACTAAAAAAACAAAAAATTGCAAATTTAAATTTAATAAAAAATTATATAATAATTAGAAAATCAAGTTGAATTCACTAAAAGTAATAATCATTATGTCAACAATTTTAATCACAATAACTCCAAATATACAATCTAATATAATAAAGATAAATAAACTAAAAATTTAAATTTTGTAATAAATTTATGGGTATATTAGTCTTTTGATAGCAATCATCCAAATTATTATAAGGAAGATTCTGAATAATTATATTAGCTCGAATTTTTCCAATTCCATTAATTCCTGTTAATTCAGAGAAGGTAGCTCTATTAGCAATAGGTGGAAAATTAATTGCATATCTAAGTGCCCTTTCAGAAAATGGACCAAAATATATATCCCATACATCCTTATCAATAACTCCAGAGAATCAAGTGAGATTTGCAGTACATCTTCCAGTAGTAAATAAAATAAAATAATCATTTTTATCAGCTGCTTTCTGACGTTCATTTTTAAACATGTTATCATTCACATCTGATTTTACCAACTTGCATTGGTGTATTTCAGTGAAGCAAGATCTATTTGAATCAACTCTAATACCACAAAAAGAATCACCAGCAGGAGCATTACAACAATTAATAATACAATGTTTACCCTCAAGCACATTGATCTGTCCATTTTCACATTGCACTAGGTGTTTGTTTTATAGCTCTTTCTAATATTAATGGCATATTACATATCTTCACATCACCATTAAGGTATGCACCAAAATGTAATTTACTCATGCTGATCACTTCTCCATTTTCATAAACCATTGACTTAAGAACACGGATTTGAGCAACATAATGCTCAAGATGCTGCCAATATTGTGCTCCAGGTGGTACTGTTACATCACCTTTTCCTTGCTGTTCCTCATAATATGTAAAGCGCCAGTTCTTCAGTATTGGATCTCCACTTGTATGTGCCATTATCCATAACCATACATAAGCACAAGTCAAAAAACCTTGTAATCCTATAGTTTTTTGGAACCAAATTAATCCAAACTGAGTAACATCATCAACTTTGAGTCCATCTGTACCTGGAAAAGGTATTGTGCTGTCCACAACTTGATGAGACAGTATTATACGCAAAACAGGCATTAAAATTTGGGATCCTGCAACAATCCACTCACTGTATCGATCTTGTAGTTTTGTTCGTATATCATTAATAAGATCAGTAAAATTGACAATATCTAAATTCTTATAATGTACAAGTACATCTTGCAAGGTCTCTAGTGCACGCCCATGGCCACCCATGTCATTAATCAGCATTTCAATAATAGGATGAGAAGGAAAGACTTGCATCAATACACCATGTTCTCGTTTATATGGAGCTGTCAAATGTGCAGTAGGCAAGAAAATGCGTTTTTGATGAGAAAAACTAAGAAACTTTTCAACAGGACTAGTAATAGTTGCTGCACAGCAAGCAATGACAAATGGTCCTCCACTCTGACGAGCTATACTGTCATACAACTATTGAAAAATGAACTTTTGTTATGAGAATCCTCTCCATCTTTTAAAGCAGTCTGTAATCCATCAATAATCAAGAAAATTGTCATATCCTGACGGGAAATTTTATGATGCATTGATATGAGATTTAACACATCAGAAGGTGAAGCTATATACCGTCGCATAATTATATCCCAAGCTGTTGTCTTTCCTAATAATTGATGCAACATTCGAAGGGCAATTGCTTGTGTGGGTGCTTTTTCTTCTTTAAGATTCAAGGGGGTGCCATTTTCAAATGATATATTGAAGACAAATGGTTTCTCTAGTGCCTTCTTCAAATCAGCATCATCTATATCCTCTGCATATTTTTTTGACAATCTTGGTAGTTCAGTTGCTGTGTGTGATTTACCAGTTCCAGCACCGGAAAGAAGAAAGTAAAGAGGGATATATGTTTTATCTATCTGCTCATTTCTCCAGTATTTATAATGATCAAATAATTCATTTTGAAATATTTCTTTGAATCCAGTTGGTGTTTGAAATTCCCATAAAGCTCCACTTGTTTTTAGTAACAAATCAGGTTCTTGGTAATAAAGACCTTTTGGAAAAGCAAAAGATACATGATACTTATCATTCCCACAAAACAGTATACAGAATGCAGAAAAAAAAAAAGCAGGTTAGTTAATGTTGTAAATAGTATACCGAATATTCTCTCAAATCAATCAATAAACAAACAAGTTAATCCACATTCATTAAATGTAAGTATTCATTGCAAAAATTAATCTTACCTGATCCTTGATTATTATCGTTATTAATGTAATGATAAGAAAATTAATTTGGAACAAAATGGATCAACGAATGAATGAACAAAATGATAATTTTACACTTTACCTGCTGCAACTACTAAAAGAGAAAAAAAAAACAAATAAAGACAAATAAATTAGTTGACGTCGTAAATATGGTATGAAATAAAATAAATAAACGAAATGGAACTAATGAAAAAAATTTTTGTATATTTATTTTTATTACCTTTTCCTTCGACTTCCCGAAGCTTTTTACTCCACCCTACTATTTCATCTTCCCACACCTTCTTCTCCCTCTTCAACTCCTCTTCTCCTTTCTCCAATATTCCTTTTTCACCGACGTACTTTTCTACTCCTCCCTCTCTTAACTCGTCCAATCTT